CTCTCAAATTAAGACAATAACAAGAGAGATAATTCATTGCCATTCTAATAAAAAGAACGTAATAATAATTAGTTTCATACATAGGCCTTACAAGTGTATACATACATGTCAATAATACCTTTAACCTTGTTACGAACAGAGTAATGACTGAACTAGAGTCACGTTCCAATGATAAGTTATGTTTACCTGTTCGTATGAAAAGTGACGCAATTTTAATTTTATTGACTTCTTTAAACAATAATAATTGGCACCAAGGCATCCACTAGTACACTGTATATTTCGATATAATATAACTACAATGTTAGTATACTTGTCCTGGCCCCCTCCTGAGTCAGACATCACACACGGTTCAGTTATTAGACGCATATGCTAGACACAGCAGACGTAGCCACCAGCTTGGTGAGTGTAGCCTATAAATTATGCAATAAAATCGAACATAATATATGTATGCTATAAAATTTAACAAACAAAATCAACAACATATCATTAATTCACATCACATACTTAATTTCTGTTCTTAGGATTAAAGATAGATATCGTTAACTTTTTACAGGTTTTTTGTTACATAGTCAGACACGTATTAAACCAGGCAACTTTACTCAATATAACGAAGACTATTTTAAGTAGAAACATTGAAACATTGGCAAATTGCCCTTTATTTTAAAAATATCATTTCACATCCCTTAATAGTCCACTGCTGGATATAGACCTCTTCTTAAAAAGAAGGTTTCGGCCTACTTCGGAAAATATCATTACAGCATAAAAATACGAAATTTGTAACTGCAAGTTACTTGCCTATTTTGCTGAGAATTAAATGTCCGCATCCAGTATATAGCCAGTCTCATTTAAAAATGAATATCGCGAGACCATTTTCGAGCCTATAAGTATCGACTATTAAATTAACTCACACTCAGTAGCAACTTTTGTTCTATTGTCTCGGCGCAATTCCCACGTGTGACGAATTTTCAAATTATCATACGATCCAGAAACTAAACGCCTGTCAACATTTGTCGAAAAGATGTCGCAGAGAAGATGTTAATAGCCAGTATTTTCACAATTGATTCTGATTGATAAACAAACATTGCCAGAAGTATACGCCGCTGTTAGCAGCAGAGACAGAATACCGACTTTGTGCACAGCACACTGGTTAATACTTCTTGCAGCCCTGATTGCAGTGTGTGTGTTATTTTTATTAGAAAAAAATAAAATAATATAAAAAATCCACTTAAATTTTCTTCGTCGGAAGATGCGTCTGCGGGCCTGCTCAAGGCTCTGAAGGCGCTCTTCTTGAGAGGCATTGGTAAATGTGTGTTGCAAATGTGTTAAACTGGAGAGACGTGTTTTTTTTAAAGTATAGAATTATGGTCTATGTGTATAATAGATAATAGAATCTAAACATAACATGACTAGACATGAGGAATGACTATCAGTAATTTCGCAGCTCTGTTCTCACAATAATTACTGAATTAAACCTTTATCAAGTTATATCGTCTGGGTAGACAGTTTAGACGTACATAGAGATTGTATCACGTACTGACTGTAGTTATTTGAGGGCTTCGTTCCAGATCCATACATAAACAATATTATTGAGGTTAGACGCATTACTTACGGAATCTTTTTGTATTGTACGATTCTTTGATCTTTACCAGCCAGCGACAGATTTTGGTTAAATCAAATTATGTTTCCTTCAAACTGTATCTTTAATTAAAGTTGTTTACAATAATTTCATGTACATATGTCGATCATTTGGTTTGTCCAATTATCAAGCCAAAGACACCCTAGCCGGAAGCAACGAAAACCTACATATTGCACAAACTCAAAATCAATATTTAAATTATCCTCTGAACGTGCATTTATTTATTTCTACTTGAACCCATTTTGACGTAACTAGTAACGATATTGTGATGTTAAAAATTATTTTAATATACCCATGCCCTTAATACTCTTTATCGATTTGTCTAAAATCTATGGAATCGTGTAAGCGCCTTTTATCAGTCTTATAAATACTTATAATCCAACAATCGGTCGTTATTCCTCAACATTGTAGACTTAGTTATTTTATCAGTGTAATAAACATAGATATTATTTACTGCTCTTCAAAATGATTCAAATCATCAACTAACAATATGACATATTTTATTGATTAAACAATTGGTTTTGGTCGGCGTTTATTTCAGTAACTAACCATAGACACAACTCAGCCGTAGTGTAGCAGCACACTAAATTTGGTTTAACAAACCGAGCCCGCTGTGTACTTTCATACTTGGAGTGCAGAATGGAACGAGCCTGCCAAAGCTATGTAGGGTAGGCAAAACGCAGGATCCCACTTTGTGTACAACCAATTTAATAAGTAAAGTACATTTAAAGTTTTCAATTTAACCACCGGTAATAAATAGTAGTCAGCATTGCTTTAATCGTAGACCAGTCCAAAGATTCTACATTTTCTTGTAAATTTACACAATAGTTTTCATTTTTGATTAGTTATCATTTCCTTTAATGATAATATTGTGAATGTAGGTGAATAAAAAGTAATTAATCGTATGACCAAATTGTATAATTACTTTAATAGGACAATTTAGTTCTTGTGTGACTTTAATTCGTTACCATTTAGACAGTAAAGGCTTACTAGACTTATTTTCTCTAGAAACGGAAGCATGGGTCTTATTATTCGAACACAAGAAGTCAGTTGCGAATCAAATACTTAGTTTTTACAATATTTGATTTCATTATGAGATTTAAAGAGTCAAAAAAAATATTGAACCGACTGTACTGAAGGTATTCATGTTAGAAATTATACTACTATCTGTAACATGTATGAACCATTTGTCTCCTTTGCATTCCCAATTAAACTGGTTGCCTATTCGCTTGCGCCGCAAAACAGCGTGCATTTACCTCTCTATTTTCATTTCTCAACTCATCGTTCTCACCTACTTACCTTGCTCCCTACTTTCGTTACCTGTCTACTAATCACGACAGAAATCTTCTCTCAGATAACAATCTGCTTCTCTTATGTAACTCCCACAACTCCGACTTCGTGAACTCTTCGTTTTTTGTTCAAGTAGAATTACTCTGAAATGCGCTCCCGCTCGAAGTCAGGATGTCCACAAACCACTTTATATTCAAAAAGATAATACATACTCTCCTTCTTAATGAAATGGCTGAACGGTCTAATCCATAGTGAAGTATACCTCATATTCCGGTCTTCATAGTGTACGAATATAATATGTCTATTTATCTATATAAATATAATTGTATATCTATGAATGTGTATCTATGTGTGTGTGTATATATGTTTATATATTTTTATCGAACACTTGATATTATGACGTAACCTCTGTTAGGTTCACAGAGGTTACAAGTTTTTTCCCCACCCAAAGGTTGACTGGAAGAGAATGCCCTGGGCATTAAGTCCGCTGATGTACAAAAGTGCATGAACTTAAATAAATAAATAAATAAGTGAAGATATTTAGCTGAAATTGTTTTTTTACCGATGGTCAAGGTTCAACAACCGATTACTACATGTGATTAGTTCGTATATATTATGGTCTCCCAAGTTTTAATATGAAAATGATAGTAATACTATTCTACCCAATATGTAGCTGATAAATTATCACGACTATAAATAGCGGATTAAAAGTACTTTCTTGTCATTATTAGATATCGCTGTACATGCTTTATATGTATTAATAAATTGTGAATTCAGTGCTTACTTGAATTATAACTTACTAACTCCTGCCGAACAGGAAACAATAGCAATAGAATTTGGTGTATATATTAGTTTCACACGCGGTAATAGACATTTATTACTTTATCAATATTTGACTAATATTCAGAAAAAGGTCGTCAACTACTTAAGTTATAAATGAATGATTAGATAATTATTAAAATCAATAAATGTAATGGAAATTTTAGACTATTTTTAAATAATATTTTTCGGTTTAATTCTTATTCATTAACTTTCATCAAAACATGATAAACACATGCTACTTGCTTGATAAGATCTTCATTATTGTTTGTTACAGGAAGTACAGAGTCTACAGTCCCAAATTTTCCTTCACGTAATTTAAAACAAAGATCATAATAATAATCTGCAAACTATTCTCTTGCTTATTTTACCTACCCTTTATTTACCCTTTTTTTTTCTCCGTGCGGAAATCCCCTCGGATACCACCTATCGGTGGCATGTCGGACTCGAACCGACTAAAACCGCACGCCGTCCCAGGTACTTATAGCCGGGGAACCAGGTATACGTCCCTGGTGCAACCCTTTATTTACCCTATTGGTACTAAGTGCCCGATGTTATGCGCTATATATTATGTACAACTTTCTTATGATTATGTATCTATGAACGGAAAAACAAAAATCTTAAAGATCACTGTGCATTAGTTTGTCCGTCTGACAATTTGATTTAAATCGATTGGACCGATTCATTTAAAATTTGGTCGCACATCAATTCCAGTGACATAAACACATAAAAATTAATGAATTTGTTTTGATACGTCCAAACAAAATCATTTATCTATATGTCAAAACATATTCGTCTTTCAGAAAATTTATAAACCGTACAGTGTACACATTAAATGAAAGAAGTTTTTCTGAGGGTTTTAAGTATAGATTTGTACATGATTTAAAAATGCTAACACTAAAAATATTTACCATTTCCCTCCTCTCTCTTCGCTATTTATAAAACTATCTTAGGATCAATAGTTTGAAATGTGAGTTAAGTAAAAGAAAAAGACCAGATAAATCATGGGATACATAAATTTATGTCAGATTGTAAAAGCATAGCAAGTAGAAGCAATTTATTCATGGTCAGGAACCCTCTACGCGAGTTCAACTTGCCCTAGACCGGTTTCTGTTTATGGGGGAAATTATACTATACTAAAAATGATGTATCATACCTTATTATACCTTAATAATACTACCTTAAAAACGAAACAAAAACGAAAAATATTACAGTTTTAACATTTTTAGGTCGAGGTATCTGAGGGCCAGTAACGATGACGGAAAAAGAAAATTATGAATATAACGTTGTGCCCGATCGAGAGGTAAAATAGAGATGCCAAAAACATAAATGCAACTGCGATTATGGCTCTTATAATTGCACCAACACGGCTTTTAGCTACGGATTATTGTGCTTATAACTGTGGATTTTGTGTGCTGTGTCCCGTGATCGTTCATAAAGTTACCCAAAATGTATTCACGTACACAACATCAATACCCTGAAATTACTCATTAGCTTCCTTGATGCTAGGATTAAACATATATTTGTTCAAGGTCCTTACATTTTTTAGAAAAATATACATATATGTGCAACAATATTATGACATTGAACATGGTATTTTGACACATGGATCACAGTCGAAAAGCAGTTGCAAGATTTAATTTCAGGGTATGAGAAAATGTGCAAAACTTCCGTGTGTATTATCGCAAACAGGGTTAGAGACCTATTTGTACGCTTAAGCTAACCTGATTTATGTCAATGAAAGAATAAAGTAGATACTACGACACAAACTAAGTCATAAAACTAATGTAGCAACAATCTTATAATGTAATTTAAGATTATTAAGCTGAAAAATGTTTATTCACAGGTTCTCGAGTCGTGTATAACACTGAACTCCACAATGGATAAGGGGAGCGAAAAAATTGACAAGACAGTGGCGTCACTGGACGAGGCCATGTTGTTATCGGGTAAGTCAATGATCCACACACCAGTTATAACTTTCAAAAAACATGAATTTCTGTTGTTGCTTAACAACAAATAATAAAACTAAAATAAAATAAATGGGGTCTACAAGTCTACGTGTTTTCTTTTTGAATATAGAAACATACATGAAACGGACATAAAGAACACCTAGACTCAGAATAACAATTTGTGGATCACACTAAGTGTCGGACCCACAACACTCAGCGTAGTAGTAAGCGGCGTGGCGACCGCTTAAACAACTGCGCCATCCGTGCAGTCAACTGTGGCAGCAATCTGTGTCCGAACGCTATATCTCATGGATCGTTATAGATAGAGAGTTGAAATTTTCCTAAAGTGTGTATTTCTATTGCTGTTATAAAAACAAAAAAAAATATTCTAAAAATTAGAGATCACAATAATATAAATATATCTATATACATAAGTATCAGTTACTTAGCTACTAACTTTAAAATAGTCCAAACCGTTTACTAGTTTTAAAATAGCCATGAGGATGTGAATATGGCAATATCCGCCTAATTATACTATATTAGATAAATAATAACAACGAAACTGATTTGTCAAAAGCGTCCCTTGCTAGCAATAAGAAAACCGAAATTGTATCGTCTTTATTTGTTGGACACAAATCCGGTTAATTTTAACCTTTTAACAGAAGAGTCCTTAGATACAAAATCTATGCACTCTTTGGAAGTCCATAATGTCAATCAGTTAAGTTATGCAAAGACTTTATCTAATCTTGTATAATAATGTTAAACAAACTGCCACTCCACTAATGTTTACATAATCTGTAATCTGTTTTTTCAGTAATGACAAAAAGCCACTTTGTATACGAGTATAAATCAAGTGTACCACAAGGTACTGTAATAATCTCGTAATAGTCATCTAATTAGATGTAATAAATTATTGTAAAATAGAGCAGCACATGGACGAATCATGCTTAGTAGAACAAAGGTCAATCATAAATCTTTCATGTTATTAAACTTAGATTAAATTGCAGAATTGTATATCAATTTCGCATAGTACATTTGAATTCATTAAACTATAAATATTTTTAATGCCTCTATGCGCATAAGTAGTATTCTGTTGACACTAAGTATGCACATTAGGAGCATTACATGTACATTGGCCAGTTTTGGTAACTCGTCAATGTAAATGCAAAATTGTGCAAGCCTTTGCGTTTAAACTTACATATTGACAAAGTAGTTAATGAGTCAGAGTAACCCTTGTAACATTGGATAGCATCAATTATTGCGTTGATCCAACGCACTCATATATACGATATATTGTGTTGACACAGTACTGTTATTTATCTGTACTATAACAGGTCCAATTTAAGATTTTTTTTCAATATCAACTATAGAATATCCTCTAAAACAAATTCTGTCAAGCCAAAACTGTACTTTTTCAATTTTGTCTTGCGGTCTATTTGTATCTTTGCTGGGTGCAGAAGAAAGCAAAACAAATTCCGAGTAGTAGGCAGGGTCATAGCAAAGCGATGTTTCTATTAAATAACTAACCCTGAGAGGGTTATTTATTTATCAAATGGCTCTATTACTAAAATGACTGCCAAGTCTGTCAGATATGCCCTGTAAGTATGACTAAGTGATACTTGTAGGGCATACTAACACCAGATGGTTTTAGTTAGCTGGAGTTCAACATGCCACCTTAAAATTTCAATGGTGGTGATGACTTGTAGAGGCTTCAACATTTTAAAAACAAGATATAGGTTTAAGAAATAAATCTCATGGGCATCTAGACACTACATGTGGCGTGTTCAAGAATATCAAATCAACAAAGGATGAAAAATACAAAAATGCTTTAAATTATGTATGAAAATTGATAAATTTTAGGACAAAAACTAGACTATCTAAAGTACTTAATCTATACAGACAAAGTAATATAACTATAAGATGCCATTTAATAAAGAATATATATTATGTAGTATAAATGAAGTGCTAAATCCCCTAACAAAAAAATTATGATCGCAATATGCAAATTAAATAGCTATAATGAACTTAATATCTGATCAGGCTCAAATGACGTTAAACAAGTATTTTCTACACGTGTTACTAACAAGTTTTTTCTGCAACTTTATGTAGCTAATTTGATATATGAAGAATGTGTGGCTTTTTTTTTGTTTTCTTTTCATCTTGTAACAGTTTTTTGTTTTTGTCAGAAAGAATAACTGTTTAGGAAAATATTTTAAAAGCATATCTGGTATTATTGTAATTAGTTTTCTTCGCATTGCGCTAATTTCAAATAGAATTAGGAGAGGGGCAAAAATTTTGTACTATCGTATACTAGACTAGCAGAATACCGCTTCAACGTAGCGTAGAGTAGGATGTTTAATACTTTAGTATGAGAAAACCTTTTATGATATTCATGAGATCGAGAGTACATCGGAACAAAATTTTGAACTAATTTTCGTTACGAGAATTGAGTTTCGGTTTAACTAATATACTCGTATATGCGAAGTCTTAGAATTTAGTAGCTATAGCAGCTTCGATCTACGTTCGAATCATGCACGTAGGAGTTGGCTACGCTAAGCTAACAATGCGTAGCATGTTATGCAGTGTACACTGCTACTGCACTTTTCTGAGCAAAAGGAACCTGACATTTGGAACTATTATTAGTTATGTAAAACTGTGTACAGAAATTAGTCAATCATAGATATTATATACCTTTAAGTTACCCGACGTTTCAAACGTTGACAAGGTCGTGTTCTCATCTCTCAGATAATTCTAAAAGTCTAAGTTATCAAGCTGCATCCTGCTTTTTGCTACTAAATAATACTACTTCACTAATTTTTTTTACTACCATACTTGTATTACGAAACCTAAATTACTATGCCCGATAATTAACAGGTAAATATATGGCTATATAATAGAAGTGCGCATATACCGCTTAAACTGGTTTATAAATTCATAATCTCACAAAACGGTATTTGCAAGACCATATTTGCATAAAAAATCAATTCAGGTCCTTTTCCTAACTATTCTTATCCTGTAAAATAACATTACTTTTTAAAAGATAGCTGTGTTAGATAAGTTTTGGCAACAATTTGTTTAACAAAAGTTAAGACCAGTCATTTTGATTTCTAAATAGGTATATCATAACCTAATATTAGTTAAAGTAACATGTTATCAGATGATATTAAATTACAGGTGTTACGTGAAGTAAATTATGGTAGCAAATATTTTGCCAAACGTTATGCATATACGAGTAGGAGTATACATATTGAATGTCACAGAGAGATTTTCAAATGAAATGTTTTACAAAACCACTGATTATTTTACAAAAGAAATCAGTTATTCAAATTAAACAATTTTCATTTAACAATACAGTGGTTCAAAATATATGTTCCCATTTCTTTTGCTTGCGGCTCTCTTTCTCTCTCTCTGTCTCTCTGTGTGTATATGTGTGTGTGTGTGTGTGTGTGTGTGTGTGTGTGAAACACAAAATCTATAGGTTAGATTAACTTTATGCAATTAATAAGTCATAATTCTTAATAATTTACATTTTGTGTTGATGATAGGGTAAATCTTGAATCCTCATTTCTAGGGTGCTATAGCTCTAAAAATGTCTATCAAAAAATCCATCAGCGGCCAAACCGTAGCGTGGGACAGGTCTTACAAAAATATTTGGGGGAACCCTCTGTAAGCCGTAGATGACTCGGGGTTCGTCGGGGTACCGTATCAGGGATTTCCTTTCAAAGTTACATCTGTTTCTGCGGTATCTCAGATGGCATGCCGTTTTAGTCGGAATACGAGGGGATTCCAGATCCAAAAAAAATATTTAAAAGTTCATCAAGACTAAAACATCGTTCAGCTGGTTAACGTAACGATTTATTGAACTACGATCTGTTTTCTAAAACATATAGCGCTCTTATAAAACGCGGGTTCAACGATTCACCTGCGACATATACTGTATGTACATACAATGGGTTATTTGGGAAACCCCACCGCAGACGAGCATCTAGATAAAACTGAGGTTGTTTGAGCTGAGATTATTTTATGACGGGCAATAAAGATGTTAGATAATAATGAAGTAAATGATAAGAAAAAAAAACTGTAAGTCAATGTATTGTATAAGATATACGATATGTACCAGTTGAAAGTAGTGATGTAATGAACATAATTTATAGCATCGTCATACTCAAATAAACGTATAAGGTCTAAGGAATATTATGAAAAGATTCCCTCGGAATTATTATATCGGTATAGATTAATCGTAAATTAGGGTCTGCACCACTACACATACCTAGACACAGAACAACAGCGTTCAGAGGAGGATTCCGGTATAGTGCAACAAAGTGCTGGAATAATTTGCCACCGCCACTCCGTAACCTTGTGAGTTGTAAAACTTTTAAATCAAAAGTTAAGCTATTGCTCTTAACCGTACAAAAATCCAGCACCTTGTAGTTGTAGAATTAGTCCTCGCAATGTTGCTAACATTATTTAATAAAAATTTGTTCTCTGCTCTTATATCTATTTATTTCCGACTAACTAGTTATTTGATATCTTTATTATATTAACAGAATGTATGTTGTGTAATTAATGTATGTAATTATCACTTTTATTTGTATGTTTATTGTATTCACATATTGTTTATTGTAATTGAACTGTGCACACGTCCGTGAGGTACCTTTGGGCTTCAGCTGAAAATCAGCGCTGTGGTCACTTTTAGGGACTATAGCATAGGCTGAGTTGTGGCCCTTTAGTCACACACAGTGATCATTTTATTCTTTTGTACTTGTTTGTTTTTGTTATTGTTTGTGCTATTTTTCAGTTGTGCAAATTGTTTCTTTTCTTTTTCTCATCAATGTTATATCTGTAATCCCTTTTTTGGCTGTGTTTGTGTTGTGACTAATAAACGTATTTTCTTTCTTTCTTTCTTTCTTTCTTTCTTTCATTATTACAGCACATTACTTATTTTAGAGCATTCTAGCAAATATTTTTTGTTCAAATTCAATGTATTTTTTAAGATTACGAATTTAAAAGATTTATTTGAACTTCCCTTTCGATTTATATGAATTTCTGTACTTTTACTGAAATTAGATATTTTTCATAATATGTTATATGGTTTAATTTACAGGTTTTGGTATGTACAACGTCCTACACATGTTGATGTCAGGCGTAATCCTAATGGGCATGATCATGCAGAGTTTAGCGTTAGGTTACATCCTGCCGGCTGCGCAATGTGATCTAGACCTTACATTACAACAGAGGGGCTGGCTCTCTGCTATACCGTTCTTAGGTAAGTACTAATTAATCTTCTCTTTGCTCTGCTTAGAAATCCGGACTAGTGCGAGTCGGACTCGCCCACCGAGAGTTTCGAACACATTTGTAGTTACATATTATAAATAGTTCAGAAATCGAATCTTGCAGTTTTGGTCGAGCTTTGCCCTAAATTCAGTTTCCAAAACCTATAGTTACTTATATTCTTGAGTTTTATTAGAGAAATTGTACCTGGATGATTGATTACGTACTTTAAATAAAGATTTATTATTTATGATTTATTTTCAAATGTATAGCTTTTGAATTTTCCCTGTTCTTGTAGTAGAAGACGACGTTACTTGCCGAATTTCAGAGTTATAGGTCAACGGGAAGAGCCGTATGAATTTTGATTGCCTTGACAGTGTCGAAGTATGCGTTTTTGCGGCATAAACGGCCGTAACTTCTTTACGTTAACTTACAGAAAGACCAACAGAGTAAACTTGAGCTTAAGCAGAGTTTGATTATTTTACAGCTTCAAGGGACCATAGACCTGAGCATATTTAATTTCAACTCGATACCTCCACGCGTTTCCGAGATAAAGTGTCTTGACAGACAGACAGACGGACAACATAGTGATCCTATAAGGATTCCCTTTTTTTCCTTTTGAGGTACAGAACCCTAAAAATGGAATTAAGATAAAGACACTTTCCATCCTCACTACCATTCCATCCTCATGTAATTATTTCTCATTTCGTGTTTCTCACTTTGAATAACGGAACTTCGAACCGTTCATAGCTCGATTTTCCCCTTAGGGGTGCATTTTACAAAAATCCTTTCTTAGTGAGTGCGACATGAAAAGCATCAGCTGCCAAAATTACAATTTTGTAACCCAAGCGGTTTAGGTTCTGCGTTCATGAATTAGTGATTCAGTCAGGGCAAATAAAATTACTTGCCCTGACTGTCTCTCTATATACATATATGTATAGACTAGCTGGTGCCCGCGACTTCGTTTGCGTGGAATTTGAAAAGCGCTGCCATAGTGGGTTCGATTCCCGGACCTCGCAAAATTTTATAGCGTTTATCTGAGAGAAAAGATAGTCCTTAGTTACTCTTTATATAGACTGCTACCTGGCAGTAAAATATTATCAAAATCGGTAAAGTCGTTTTGAAGATTACCCGGAACAAAGAAATAGATAGATAGACAGACAAAAAATATTTAAACTAGTTTTTAGGCATAGAACCTCCTTTCTAAGGAGAGGCCTATGTCCAGCAGTGGACTGTTATAGGCTGTTGATGTGATGATGGTGTATTAGGCATAGGTATCGTGTAAATAACCGTGTGTGAAAAAAAACCTATTATTTTGACATTCCAAACAGACACTTCAATTTTATTTCTTTGTATAGATAGCCAGATTTTAATATATTTTATATTTATATTTAATAAATATTGCAAAAATATAAACAAAATATTTTTTTATGTTTCCAGCTATTATTCTGACCTCCTACATTTGGGGTTGGCTAGCGGACACTCAAGGCAGAAGACCAGTAATGTTGTTTACCATGCTCATCTCTGCTGTGTTTTCGGCGTTCGCGAGTTTCGCGCCCGAAGTTATCTCTTTTGGAGTCTTGATATTTCTTTCGGCTGTGTTGTAAGTAATTTTATGAAAATTTCTTTATGTGATAGTCAGTCAACTTTCTCTTTTTCGTGTAAAAATTACCACAGGTCATCACCTCACTAGAGTCAAAGGGTGAAGTAGTATCTTTAAATCAAATCGTCTAAGAAAACGTCTAATCTACGATTACAAGTGAATATTATAAGATGGAAACCTCCTAAACTGCGTCTTGATCAGTAAGCCATGGCGTACTGAGGGTGAAGATCGGTCTCCAGTCGGTGAAACCCACCACCCTCTAGCACCTGCTCTAAGTGAGATCAGATGGTAAGCATCTTGTCGTTGGAGGAACGTTATACCGAGGACACTGCTATGATACAGAACATTTGTGAAATTATTATGAGACATAAACTTTTATAGTGATAAACCGATAATAAACCTTTTGATCGCCACTATTTTGTTAATACTTTATTGAAACTGTATTCTACTTGCATAATTATTCTAAAAAATATGGAAAAGGGTTTAAACGAAAATACGGGTCAAATGATGGAAACCAGCTACCGCCGCCCATGCACGTCTGCAAATCAGGAGTCACAAGCGCGTTGCCGGCCACAAGGGATTAAAATTTTGCCGTGTGGAACGATGTTCGACCAATTCCTCGGAGCACTCTCCATAAGTTATACGATAGATAATTCAGAGTGAAGCTACAACTTAACGTCAAGGGAAGGAGTATAATGATTAGGAGAGACTATAATGATTTTCTATCAAATATAAATAATTTGAAATATAAATGTATGTATAATATGCTATGTATTCGTATTACAAACAATTTTTTAAAGGTTTTTGTTTTGGTTTTCAGTATGTCGGGTTCATCAGCCGTAGTATACACGTACTTGGGTGAATTCAATAATCTCCGACACAGAGATAAAATGGTGGCTTTTGGTTCTTCCTTCGTCGGAATAGGAACCGTAGTTTTGCCCTGTAAGTTATTTCACGAGTAATATGAAAACTTCTTTTTTGACATCTTGTGTGCGTTACATCTACAGAAAAAAGACCTTCTAAAGACATTATTATAATAGTTCTGTGAAAATGGCATCGATTAATAAGTTTTTGTTAGCTGCCAGGACCTATGTAGCTAAAATCAACTTTATTTTAAGTTAAGCTTTTGATCCCTTGAGAAACTACAGATATGAAAAAAAAAATTAGGGAAGGATGCTTTTGTTTTCAAATAAACATAAAGTCTAATCACAGTCTAAAAGCATTATAATTCATAAGTTCTTAAATAAAATTACGTTTTTACTACAGGTATATCTTGGCTAATACTCCCCTTGGAATTCGCCTACCCCATTCCATTCTTGGGCATCGAATACCGACCATGGCGGTTGCTGGTGGTAGCCTGTGCAATACCGTTTGCTCTTGGAACTGTTCTTTTAATGTTCGCCCCGGAAAGTCCCAAGTTTCTGTTTGCCACTGGTCATCACAATGAGGCCCTTGATATAGTTAAAAAAATATATGCTAGAAATTCAAGGCAACCAGTGGACAATTTTGAGGTAAGTTGAATATATATATTGTAGTAACACATCACAGTATAGCTAATTTAAAATTTTCTACAAGCACCATTAAAACACTATTACAGTGCATGGATGAAAGCCATTCATGCACTATAGAAAGTTTAATTATTTACCAAAAGGAGGGAGTTTAATATATAGCAATAAAGCAAAAATTACATCAAATTTATTTTATCCAGATCAAGTCCCTATTAGTTGAGAGCCAAACTACGAAGGTTACAACTAGCAGTGGAGTTGCTGCCGTGTGGGAATCTATGAAAGAACAAACTATCCCACTTTTCAAGTCTCCTCTACTACCTTGGACAGCTTTGACATGTTTCGTGCAGTTCGGTATTTTTGCCACGTAAGTTTTATTTGGTGTTTTATTGTGATTATACGTATTTCATATTATTCTAAATTCAGTTTTTCTCATACTTTAAATGTCTGAAGGCCTTTGCCATAAAGTTAAACCAAGCAGTAATAAAGAAAGTTGCTAATCATAATGTACACAGATCAAAGGCATAAAAGATCGTTTCAAATGTAATACTTAATAACACAATTATTCCAGGACTAACGGCTTTTACGTGTGGTTCCCATCAATCCTAAACTCACTGGCACAGAGCGATGGCGATGCAACCAGGATCTGTGATGTACTCGATGCGAATAGGGGCCTTACGAACAACGGCACAGTGGTAACGTTTATTTATTTTTAACTGTTTTTGTTAAAACTCTCATATTTGCTCGTTCTTTTAATGTACTGTTTTCACAGTAAATATAACATGTGTCATGCAATTCTTGGTCAACACGAGTTTCACAAAACTTTAGAACCTGAGGCTTTTACAGCTATGCCAGTTTAAAGTTCATATAGGAGAAACAAAAAAATTATGGACACGTTACTGTTAAAGTCAGTTTCCTCTATAATTAAATTTATACAAATAAAAACTATATTGTATAGATAGTATTCTACGATGAAGTTTTTTCTAAGCAGTTAATATTTATAAGCGTCTAATAATAAGCCGTAAAAAAAGTCGTACCTTCATCTATCTTCACACAATAGTTATTGAATCCAAAAGTCTAATAAAAATAATACTCATAACAAATGTTTTACTAGAATTATTTCTCTCAACAGATCTGCGATGATACAATTCATACGTCAACATTCGAGCGGTCTATATACATCGGCCTCGTGTTCTCCTCTATGTACATTATTGTAGGCTTCATCGTGGATTACATTGGCAAAAAGATAATAGTTTTGGTTATACTCTCCGTAACTGGTTGTTGCGGAATCGGTGCTCATCTGGCGTACAACCAGCAGTTGGCAGTTGTTTTCTTCGCGATTTTTCAAATGTGTGGAGCTTGTATTGGTTTAATGAACGCAGTGGCTGTGGAATTATTTCCTACTAAGTACAGGTATATTCTTATACTATTTCATTAGTTTTGTTTCTATTTTCAACACTGCACGGTTGGCGTAGTGGTTTAAGCGGTCGCCACGCCGCTTACTACTACGCTGAGTTGTGGGTCCGAGCCCCACATGGGACGACACTTTGTGTGATTCACAAATTGTTGTTCTTGGTCTGGGTGTTCTTTGTGTCCGTTTTATGTATGTTTGTAAAGTTCCCCGCGACACAGCATTATTTATTCCTAGTGCGGGAGTAGTCTTTTTAAAGAAAAAAAAAAGATTTTTTTATCGTAGAGCCTCATTCAAATCAATTATCAATATTACATCCAAAACTTATAAATTGCCATCAATGCCAATAACGATTTCCTTTAGCAAATAAAAATAACACAATATCCACGAAATATGAGTTTGTACAGGATTTATAATTATTTTTTTAAATATATTTAATTACTGTTTTTATTTGCAGAGCCATGGCGATCTGTCTGTCCATGATGATGGGACGTGTAGGCTCCATGGTGGGATCTAATCTAATTGGTCTATTCCTAGATATTAACTGTGGTGCTGGTTTCTACATGTTTGGATCTATCCTTATAAGTAAGTATATTCTGGCAATTTCAAAAACAATTATTTGACTTAACGAAGCATCTTTTCCAGCCTAACATTGGCCATAAACCCAATCTTCACGCTATCACAACTTGTACAAATGGAGATCTTGCTAAAACGACTAAGGACTAGAATAAAACGTGTCATTTCCAATTCAAATACAATAAAATTTCACAAGTTAACTTGAGTTATAAAAAAAAATAACTCTAGAAAGTTGATTATATAGACAGACAAACCCCTGAAAGCTTTTTTGATTATCGTACTTCTTGTGGCTGAATATCTGGTCAACTCCTAAAGAATCATTCTCTCTAACTTGGACACACACCGGAGGTAAATGCAACTAATATATATTTTATTAATTTCAGTTAATGCATTGTTCTGCATAACACTGCCAAACAAGAAGCAAAGGTCTCCAGAAAAGAAAGTGATCATAGAATCAACGCAAAATGAAACCCATGAACCTGTATGAAGTGTATGATACATCAGTTATTGAAACTGGACAAAACTAGGCCAAACTGTCAAACTATGAAAGTGGGAATGTTAAAAAATGTAACATTTCACTATTACATACATTCTCAATATTGTGTATATATAAACTGAAATTGTTTTTTTAAATTAGTTATGAGGGATTATCGAAAGGTTAACTTAGAAAGAGAACCTTTGTCATGAAGCAGTAGATAAATTATATAATATTATATAACTACCAAAGAGCTGTGACATATGTATACGATTTGTAAATAAGTATTATTTTAAAAATTATCATTATCAATTAGCAATTAGTTCAAAATATAACTGTCATGCCGAGCTATATTAAAATAGATAGTTAAAAATAATATATTATGTTAATATATTAAGATTAGGGAAAGTTGCATGGAGGAAAAAGATAATTTAAGAAATGTGATCAAGAGATGAAAAGTTGCAAGCCATGTAGCGTTGTATTGATTCTCAGTTAATTTCTGAGAACGAAGAAGTAAATATGCAAAACATAATTATTAAATTTTTGGTTAAGCTCTATTAAATGTTTAAAAAAAAGAGTGTTTTCACATACATTCCCAAGCGCGCAAACATTATTAAATGTTTCTACTCAAGTTATAAGTGCGTCCCCTAAAGTGGAAAACTAATTGCTAAAATAGCTTTTGGACTCCATTTCCATAGTCATAGGCGAATTAATGTGATCTCCTCATCCATACTGATTTTTTGGAATCAAAAATTCCAAGAACGTCACCGCCTACTCTGCGCAGAAGAGATGCGCAATAGCATAACTCAAATTGTGAACTTCGTATGCACCTAAGGAAAAGCAGTGCCTACCTACAGTAGGAGCTGCGTTTTCAGGAAACATTTCAGCACCTGAATAGTCTACCATATAAAGCGGAAGTCTAAGGTTTTTCGCTTCCGTGAAACCTGGATGAGGGCAGGGAAATTTCAGAATTGTGGGCGGCGGTACCAGGATAACATGAATTAAAAGAAGCGTCGCGGGGGAAACTTTTCGTCCACAAGTACGCATGCGCAAAACCAAGAGTTACGAATATTGATTTTTTCGCACCCACTGCACGCACACAGAGGTACAAATAATATATGTGGTATTTTGTACAATCCAATTCTTTAAAAATATTTTTGGAACTAAAAAAACTATATAAATATTGTTAACAAGCGCGCAATAAATTGGTAAATGTATATTCAATATCATGGAAAATCATTTTTTATGAGAGAACCTTTTGGCGCGCCGTGCATTATACAAAATTGATAGAATGCCTATTGATTTTACAATAGAAAAGTTTAATATACTTAAATAAATTATTGTGCAGTCCTCATGAAATTAAGAAGATATCGTGTGACCTAATGTTGTGAAATCTACATTCGTTACTACTTTCTTATTATTTTTAATTGTTATTTTAAATATTAAAAATAAAGGAATAGTATCCTTGTTAGGGTCAAGTGTGTGAGGGACACATTTGACCTTCCAAAATAAATAAAGTGTGGCTTAAAAAAGTTTGGAAAGAACAATGATTTTCATTCTAAATCTAAAACATTAAGTACAAAAATTGAAATTTAACTTTATAGAAATCACTGGTGGCATTTACTTCAACAATATTGTTTAAATATTTTCCAAGTAAAAGCCGTGTCGTTTTCCTAGTTCCATGTCGCAAACAGAGGAATGTCTCTAACTCTTTTGTTTCTTGGGCGCCTAGTATTTCAGATGTCGTGAAAACGTGAGTGAAAAGATGTCAAAATTTTCATTGCAGAAACCCATTTTAAAAACCGAATAGACCTAAATCAAAATGGAAAAATAATAAAATCTCCTGTTTAACCAGATGTGTGGATTTTATAAAGAAATACATAATAATGTATTTAACGTAATAACGTTAACTATGTTTTATCTACATTTTATGATAAATTAATTCTGCCTACAGCAAATAATAGACTAGATTGAAAAGCAAAGAAAAGTCAAAGCGTTTTCTTTCATGTTTGCAACCAAAACCAACCAAACCAAGTTCAATCCGTTGACCGATCCGCCATTTTCACTATATTTACCAGGAGAACAGATAACGTAAAGAGGTTATTGATTTTCTATGCATCGTTAGAAAGAGACCGGGAACGCCGCCTCTGCCTGTACACAAGAATAGGACAGAATATTTTTCGCACCCTAACTCTAATTCAAGACGTTATATTTATGGTATTAAATAGTATATTATTTGATGTGTAAATTGCGTTTAGTATTTTATTAGGACTTTGTCGTGGGGATTTTTAAAAATTAATCTTTCACCTTTCACCTTCGTGCGGTGTTACCTAGCAAACGTTTTATTCCCGTGGCCGTAGACATTGAAATCTATGATCATTTTGCATAGTTTATTTTCATTACAGTGCAGATTTCTTAAAAAAAACAAAAACTCTTCTGGTGGTTCAATTTTTTTGCAAAATTCTATGTCAGTAGGTACGTATATATCAAAGGAAAAGTCTTTCTAAAAGATCACAAATGTACAAAAATGTGGTTGTATTAATTCATAATTTAGTTATGATACTGTCGCCTTTGGGCGTAATCACGGTGAACTACAAAACATAGTCAGCTGATACTAAATTATTTACTCATATTCACTTATTTACTTTAAATCAGTGTCGGATTTACATTGTAAGGTAATTATTACTCATGTGTTAACAATTTATTAAAAATAATTTTGTTACTATAAAGATAAATGATACCTTTTACGAGTTAATTATTGAAAAAAAGAAAACGAAAACCCGACTCACGCAGTCGAGTTTTTGGAACGAAGTTCCTTATCCGTTACCGTTGTGAACGGGGACTAGACGGAAAAAATTCTCACGAAAAGTTGTAACTTTTTATGTCATTCAGCGCCATCTATCGAATAGATAGGAAATCATTACTTTTCATCTCAGTATTTATTTTGAATTGTCACTTGTCAGTCATTCAGCGCCATCTATCGAATAGATAGGAAATCATTTCTCAAGGACATTTTACCAATGTATAAATTGTTTTAATTAGAAACCAACTGAAAAATATGTAGGTAATAGCCGCTTTCATAGAAGGCTTTGTAATTAAAATCGTGTCGAATCAGTTTTACTCGATCGTCACAACTTCGTTCCTCTCGGGTGTCCAACGACAACACACTTTCTTTTTGTTTTCTTTCTTTTCCAAAAGTTTTTAAAATGTATACATACTATGTATATTTACAAGCCAGCGATTACCTATAATTTTTACGGAGTGTCACTGTTGCAATTAAGACGAATCCTCACGACACCTTCCAAACCAAAATGTATCCAGGCATTTAGACTATAAAGCGTACCAAAGAAATATACATGCATTCATCTTTTTGTAATATATTAATAACAGTATTGATATCAAAATACTTACAATCTGTTCACATGGTATAAATTTAATTAGACCAAAACATCATTTTTTAAGATGTTTACCATTTAAAGCCGCTACTGGAAAAGCTAGTACAAATCACTTAGCATGAGCAATCGAGGTATACAAATTGACTACGGCATATATTGATGTATACTAAAGGATTTTATGATTAGCAAAGTTAAGTTTGAACTCGGAAAAAATAGGTAAATATTATAGAGATAGCTGGATATTCGTTACATCTCCAAGTTTACATTTTACAGGCATGTTGTTTTATTGTACTCGTAATTCCACGTCAATATTGAAACCCAAAAGCATAATGACAGTGGGACTAACGACATGTGTATGTCCCTTGGTACTTGTATTAGAATTAGGGCACCACGCATTTGCTCACATTTTTTCGCAGTGTATGCTCTTTAAGGCAAGGTTGCAGCGATTTTGCACTTTTTTGAAGAGAAATAAATACCTTAATATGCATTTATTGTGCATGAAAATAAATATTTTTTAAAAATTAAACATATAATCTAGAGATCCGTAAAGATGGAAACATGATTTATGGAATTTGGCTCGATAAAAAAAAATCACAAACAAAGCACTAACTCACGATTTCAAATAGAAATTGTTGTAAAATGCCACCATGGATTCACGTAAAAATTATACCAAAAAATAGAGCTTATTCTTTTTAGGGATTTGTAAGGATACATTTTCACATAGTTGTACTTATAAAAAAAGGAACCAAAAAATATGTTTTTGCGCTTGCTTACGGCGGCGAAGTTCGCCTGTCAGAGCCACAGAGTACATTGTCACGGTACTATTATAATACAGTATTGTAACTCGGCCGCATGATAGAAATAAATGCCTACAGCCGCGCGGTACGTAAACATGCGTTAGGGCTGCCCGTCTCCAGCATTTTAGTGATATTTGCCTACTTTCTGTTTCTATTTAGATTTGTGATTGTAAATATCCTTTTTATATAAATAAATGAAATACTTTGTATATTGAATAGGAATTGTTCAATAAAAATGCGTGTTGTTTTTTGATTGGTAGATTTAATTAAAAAACATTTTTTTGTTTGAAAAACCAATCGGGCTTATAAATTAGCGACCGAAAAAAATCCTTCTATAAAATAAAATAAATGTGCTTTCTCCATACGCGTTACAAAACTCCAATCCTTAGAAACTCCAACACCTACCACCTACTCAACTAGAATGCAAGAAACAGCTGACGAGTAAGTAACTTTTTATCTCAGCTAATTAACGTCTCTATAAATTACCTAACCTATAACCTACAACTCGCAACAACTCAAAACAAAAATTCTTTGGTCACCAATTAATTAATTATTAAAAAGCTGAACAGCTGACTACGAATGTTTTAAAATCACAACCCTCAAACATCTAAATATTATATATGAGTCTAGCTGTTGTTGTTAATACCGAGAAAATAAAACCAGTTTTTAGTGGTATATGTTGTTATAGTAGCAGCAGAAACACTTTGTGAAAATTTCGAAAACTGTCTAATGACACACAGACGGTAACAAATTTTTTTTAGTATTATTCATACACACAGATAATAAAGATATATTATTAATAATAAAATACCACGTCTTT